CCGCTGCAGCCCAGACACCCCTCAGCTTGCGTGGGCGTGTCCGCAGCCCAGTGGGTGAAGAGGGCATGAAGTGGACGTCAGGTTTCTTGAGTTCTAGGCCCCCGGCAGGTCACGGGTCCTTGGAAAAGTCACTGTTCTCTGGGCCTCAGTTTCTTCATCCGGAATATAAAAGGGTTAGACCTGACTCTTTCCTCTGCCCCCTTCCTCTGTCCCTCCTGCTTCCGTGGGGAGTTATGGGGCATCTGTCATACGTGGAGGGCTCTGCTGCAGATGCTAAGATGAGTGAGGTTTAACCAAGAATCTAGAGGGGGAGGCAGACGAAGTACCGAATGCAGCAAACACGCCGTGACGCCTGTAACTGCAGAAACCCGTGCGGGCGGGGACGAGCAGGGCGGACAGGCTGATTTGCTGGGAGGGGGGCGGGGACAGCGCCAGGCAGCATCCCTCCAGGTTCTGAGCTGCGTGTGGAAGAGAACAGGTGATGTGAGTCCCCTCCCAGCCCCGACCCGCAGTAAGTCCCGTGAGATGTGCCCGTGTGATGAGGAGACTGGCCCTTGCTGTCCCTGCAAGAGAGTGAGAAGTCCAGAGTGGCAACCACGGGGGTCCTGGTCTGGGCCGTGGTGGTGCCGTTGATGAGACTGGGGGGGGGGGGGGGGCGCGGAGGACAGGGGTGGCTCTAACTGGGTGAACACTCATCCAGCCCCTGGTCCTTCCCAGTCCAGGTGGTGCTTGGCACCTGGAGGCCCCCAGCAAACACTTAGGGGAGTGGACTGCACCACCACCTGTGCGACCTCCGCCCCCTCCCCGTGCCACGGGCGCCCCGGCACTGCGGGCAGAGAGCACTCCTGCCCCGGGGTCCTCCCGTGTTGGGAGCCCCAGCGTGCTGGGCCTGCTGCACCGGCCGGTCCCCTCCCCGACCCCAGCCCAGAAGCCATTCAGCTGCTGACGAGGAGAGGAACACCCTGCAATGACCTTTGCACCCCGCCTGCTTTCCCCTGGGTCTGACAGGCAACTTTCTGGCCATGTTTCTTCTCTATAAATGGGCCGTTCCTAAAATTACACGGCCTGGGTGACCTGCCCGCCCCTCCCGGCCTGCCCGTGTCCTGGTTGGTAAGAAGGCCAGCTTCACCCTCTGCAGGGCTTTCTGCCTGATTGGCTACAGGCTATGGTTTTGAAAAATGTACTTAATATTCCGAAGAAATCCAACCCAGTCTCTGTAGGGAGCCAGATACTGTTGAATCAACTCTATGCAAATAGCCGGTGCACAGCTCAGCAGGGCCATTTGGCTCCGGCCCCAGTCGGTCTTCCGCAGGGCCTCTTCCACCGCTCTTTCTGCTGACCCGACATCTCTGAACCGCTTGACGAAAGCCACGAGCATCTTGCTGGAGGTGTATTGGCAGATGGTCGTGGGGACATGTCACCCATGCGGAAGACCTCCGAGCTTGTCATCCGGCCATTTTACAGATGAAGAAACTGAGGCTTCCAGAGGCGAAATGTCTGCACAGTCACACACTTAGTCAGGGGCACGGCCAGGGCTGGGACCCAAGCCCACTGACCGCTTCCCTCCCAAGACGCCCTCTGGCGATCCGTCCCGACGTTGGGCAGCTTTGACTTCTCCTGTCCACAGGAAAGATCGTTTCCTAAAGAGCCAACCGGGTCCCAAGCAGGACACCCCCTGAAGGACTTGAAACTCTCTTGCCCCGGATGGCAAATCCCATTGGGTGTCCCCAGCAGACACTATGTGACACCCCAGGGGAGGTCTGGGGGCCCCACTGACTCGGACTCGCCTCCTGATTTCTTCTGCACGTCAGGGCCAGTGTGAATTTGTTGCTGTACAGACCTTAATCAGGACAGCGTGTCCGCCCAGACCCTCCCCTGTGGGCGAGGGCCCTGCTGCCGCCCTGGCTGAGCTGCAGCCCTGCCTGCTTTGCAGATCCCAGCCATTGCTGTGACCGGGACATGCTCCTCTCTTAGGGGGTCAGTGTGCTGTGGCTGCATTGCTCACAGCACCCCTCCCTCCCCTGGGAGCACATAGTTTCCTCCTTTCTTGCGTAATTTAACTTTCCTCCATTTGGACTGAAAATACTGCTCCTTGTCACCCCGCTTCTCCCCCAAAGCTCCTGTCAAAGCAAACACCCTGGGCTTCCCTGGTGGCGCAGTGGTTGAGAGTCCGCCTGCCGATGCAGGGGACACGGGTTCGTGCCCCGGTCCGGGAAGATCCCACGTGCCACGGAGCGGCTGGGCCCGTGAGCCATGGCCGCTGAGCCTGCGCGTCCAGAGCCTGCGCTCCGCAGCGGGAGGGGTCACAACAGTGAGAGGCCCGCGTACCAAAAAAAAAAAAGCAAACACCCTGATGCAGACAGGGAAGTGGTGGGAGGGGCAGTCCTGAGCTGGGCCAAGGGCCTCCAGGCCGCGGCCTCAGGGGAGGATGTTCTTGGGACCCTGCTGGGGGAGGGGACAGGACTGACCCCTGTTGACTAGGAAACTACGCGGTGGTTCTCAACTGGAACCATCTGGGAACTTAGTAAAGGATCCAGGCCTGATCCCACCCCCCGAAATCCAGGCACCTTGGTGATGTGCGGAGGTCTCTGGGTGGTGGCGCGGCCCAGCTGAGAACCACTGCCTTAGAGGGTGCAAGGTGGGGGGGCCCCAGAGACGTCTGCACCGGGGTCACTGTGAGATGCAAGATGAGGCCTCAGCCCCCGAAGCTGAGCGCATTATTTTACGTGGATGACGTTCCTCTGGGCAAAGCGTCCCAAGCTTTTCATCAGATTCTCAGTGGGTTCCATGTCCCCCAGCAGATTAGGTGTCCCCAGTGCTGTCCACACGTACCCCTTTGGGTGGTTCCAGATGCGATGCTAAGCCTGTGGGGTTGACAAGCCTAATGGATGAGGCGCCTGTTTCTATAAAGACGCTACACGCGTCAAAAGTGAGATCCACTCCGTGTGGTCACGTGGACTATTTCGTGCTGCTCAGAATCTCTTCTTGGTACTACCACGTGCCTTTGATTAATAAAAAATGAGAAATGAACTATTACTTCATGCACTGTGTTTGCTAAGCAGAAACCCTTCAAAACATAAGACCCGTGGGAAAAAGTAATCAAAGGGGCCCTTGATGGTTATAGGTTGGGACCCACTGGCCTAACACGTCCACCTTGTTTGAGAGATGAAGAAACTGAGGCCCAGAGAGGTTAAGGGACCACTTTAGGTCACACAGCCAGTTATGCCCAGTTGAGATCCTCTCTCAAGCCTCCCGGGCATGCTGTAGGGGCAGAAAGATTATGTGCAGAATATTTTGCTGGAAACCCTCCCTTGACACGGTCCTGTTGACCCAGACGGAGGAAATTCCTCACTGGTCCTGGAGGTTATGTGGCCAGAGGTAGCCCACGCTCCTGAGAATTAGAAAGCCTGTTGTAGTCCAGGATTTCATCCAGCCTAAGATACCATCACTTGTAAGATACACCATTGTTTTCTGTACCGCAAGGCAAGAGTGCGGCCAAGCGTGGTTGTAAGATGCCATCAACCATAAGATGTGTCTGGTTTTGGAGATGTTAAAACGGGAGGAAAAATATGTGCCGTGGAATCAAAGGAGGTGGATTCCATTTGGAGCCGTGCAACGTCCTTCCACCTGGTTCTCTTACCCGCTAGAGGTGCTAAGGGGGATGAAACTCCCCTTAAAAGAAAACAGATGTATCTAAAAAGCAGGAGTGAGTATGGGAGCAGGCCCAGCCCAGTGTGTGCGATCCCAGGACAGAGTCCCACACTGGCCCTCAGCAGACCTGGGTTTGCATCTCAATCTCGAAACTCTGGGTGGGTTTCTGGGGGGGCGGGGGGGCGTGTGCAGGAGGGTGTCCTCTCGAGCACGCTCTATTCTCTCCAGCCTCCATTTCTTCATATGCAAAAGAGAAAACGCCTGCTCCCACCTGCCAGCCCTAAGCCTCCCGAACTACTGTGAAGCTCGAAGAGGCGCCTGGCGCAGCCTCGTTGCTAAGGAGCTTCCGTCTGCCCCGCTGAGGTCTGCGAACGGCAGGCGGGTTATACAGAGTCATCGGGGCAGTGGGACCGAGCCCACTGGGGCTGCCCACCTTCAGCCACACTCAGGACCCCCTGAGGGAGCGGCAGCCCCCATCTGAGAAGAACTCATCCTCAGATGAGGCAGGGAAGCTGGGGGCCATCTGCCTTCCCAGGAGCAGGGGGCAGATCTGGTCACAGGTGCCGGGGTCCTGCCCCACCGCAAACCCTGGGCCGACACCCCTGCTGTTCACCATCTCGCACCTCGGGGACACACACACATACTTTGCCCAGGATCACAGCCACAGAAAGGGTCGTTCAGCCTCACTGCAGAAGGAACAGGGCAGCTGTATTTCCCAGGGTCCCTTCCTGGGATCAGGGCCGAAAGGGATCAGACGGTCAGCAAAGAGGACGCCTCCCCCCCCGCTCAGTGTCCTGCCGTCCCAGAGCGACTCCAGCCTGTGGAGCGTGTGTCCCTTCCTTTGGGGGGGCAGCTCGGCTGAGCTGCAGACCCGGGCTCCGAGCTGGGGCTGGCCCTGCCCTGTGTCGCCCCACAGAGGCGGCCCTCGGGCAGCTCTCCTTCCTCTGTTGGCCTTGTCCTCTGTCTGTAGAGCAGAGATGAGAAGCCCAGTCGCGCTTCCCCCACAGGCGATGAGAAGGGGGCTTGTGAAAGTGGCCTGCCAGGGATGCAAGCCGGGGAGGAGCGCTCGGGGTTGGGGGCGGGGACGGCGGGAGGGGGTCCCCACAACTGGAGCGTCCCTGCCTCATGACGGGGACGCACAGGCATCGTGGTGGGAAGCACGGGACCGGGAGTCAGACCTGGACCCAAACTCTGTCCCTGCCTCTCCCCTCGACCACGGGTAAGCCTCTGTTTCCCCATCTACAAAATGGGCAGCCAGACGCTTCCCACGGGCTTCTCAAAGGACCAAATGAGATGATGCCCGAGAAGGGCCTCGTAGGCGGTGGGTGCTCAGACCCGGTGTCCCGCAGATGGGGGGTGCCGCGGTCATGGCCGTGGGCGTCTGGACCCTGGTGGAGAAGAGCGGCTACCTCGGCGTCCTGGCCTCCAGCACCTTTGCCGCGTCTGCCTACATCCTCATCTTCGCGGGCACGCTCGTCATGGTGACCGGCTTCCTGGGCTTCGGTGCCGTCATCCGCGAGGACAGGAGCTGCCTCTCTGCGGTGAGTGTCTGCCCGGCCCTGCCCAGCGCCGTGGGCAGAGGGAGGGCCACCTGCCCCGGGCTTCTGAGAGCCTGGCCCCCTGACCAGGCTCCACTCTGAGAGCCCCACCCAGTGACGCTGGCCTTGGTCTTGGAGGCCTCGGGAAGGCTGCCATGGTCTCCAGGTGCTTGGGACCTAAGCCAGGAGGGCACCTTGGAGGTGGCGGCAGCACTGCTCCTCCCCTTTTTTCTCCTCCTCCCCCGCTCCTCCTCTTCCTCTGTCCAGATTTTATCATGGTGATTTTCAAAAATAGGCAAAGATGAAAAGAATGTTACAATGAAGGTCCAGGTCATCACCCAGACTCACTGCCACTATCTTGGAGCCAATCCTGTCCATCTGCCCCCTCCCCCGCTCCCCGCCCCACCCAAGGCCCCAGATACCACGTCACCTGTAAAAATTTCAGGGTGTACCTCAGAGACGTAAGGATCCTTTTTTTAGAAGAGGTAATGACAAGACCATTATCACACCTAAAAACAATTAACAGTCATTCCTTGATATCATGAAATAACCAGGCAATTCCAAATTTCCCCACTTGACCCATGAGCTGTTCTTTTTTTTTTTTTTTTTTGCAGTTTATTTGAATCAGAATCTAAATTTGTAAGGTCTGCGTATTAGAGTTGGACGATGTGTCTCCCAAGTCACTTCTAGTCTCTAAGCTCCCCATCAATCTCTCTCTGTTTTTGTTCCTTGCAATTTACCTGTTGAAGGAACCAGGTCATTTGTGCTTTGCTCTCTCCCAGTCTGGGCTTCCTGAGGCCTTGCTGGTGATGTTCTCGTAGTTGGGTGTAGAAGCTTGATCAGACTCAGGTGTGATTGTTTGGGCAGGTGTTTCATGGGTGAGGTGGGCAGCACAGGCTCCGCGTCAGATGCCCCCCTGGAAAGCTGAGAGGACACCCGCACCCCACCTCTGGCTCCAAGTGTCAGGAAAGGAAGGGCTGCACTCGATGGGGCAGAAGCCGGAGTCCCGCTCAGGACTCCCAGACCCTCCCTCCCTCCTGGGCACCTGCTGCCAGGGCAGGCTCCCTGGGGCCCGGGTGGCATCTCCCCCTTCATCTCCCCAGCGACAAGCCCAGTGCGGGCAGGGTAGGCTACAAAACATCTGGGCTCAGAAAGGAAGGGCCGGGGCTGGAGTCAATCAGGCTGAGCCTGGAAAGGCTGCAGGAAGAAGCCTTGAGGGCTACGCTCTCCCTGCCCCGCTTCCCGTGCCCATCACTGACGTGGCAGCCTCGGCCCCCCGCGTCTGACCAGAGAGAGGAGGGGCCGGAGGGGCCGAGCCCCGCCGCCTCTTGCGCCAGCCGTGACCTAGCTTTTCACTCTGAAGGCAGCAGCACCTGCGCCCAGGCTCAGCGGGACAGCCCTCCCCTGCCTAGCAAAAGTCCTTAGCTCTGCTGAGGGTCGCCCAGAGCAGGGTGCGGGCCGCGTGGACGGTGGGGGGGTGAAGGCCCACGGGGACCAGCCACCAGAGTGTGGCTTTGACTTGAGCTGTCCTTCCAGCCGTGGGACAGGGGTGCCCTGAGCCAGCCTGTCCCTGCCAACCGTCCCCAACTCCTGAGTCCTGGTGAGCCTGCTGACACCCTCGATCGGACCCGTGCGAGCTGGATGAGGACACGAGACATGACTGAGGGACCGGGCCTGTGGTGTAGCTGGTGGTGAGGGCCAGGGGGGTCCAGCCCTCTGGGACTGAGGCTTACAGGGACCGGGGCTCCTGGGCCCGGAGAGGGCCCGTCCCCTGCATCATCCGTGACCCCTTTGCCCCGCTCAGCCCTGGTCCTGCGGGAAGCAGGGCCTTCGCCTTGGCCTCTGGTCTCGGCCTGAGCCCTCTGGCCTGGGAGGCAAGCTGCCGGCCCTCCTTCCCACCCAGAGCCCTCCCTCTCGGTTCTAAAGGAGTCCTGTGGCCCGTGGTCCCCTGCAGCCTGGGAAACAGCCCCCTGCTTTCCACCGGGGTGCGATTATAACACAATGGGCTTGGATCACGGAGCGCCCCCTTCCTCTAAAAGCAGCCCTGCAGAGTCACAAGCGTCGTAACCTCTGTGTGCCAGGCCGTTCTAAACACTCAGGCATGTTAGTTCCTTTGATCCTCATGCCAGCCCCACGTTTTGGAGGCGAGGAAGGTGGGGTTAGAGAGGTTAAGCCATCAGGTCTGGGTCACACTGCTGGCGGGTGGCCGTCCCCGGGCCCCTGCTCCCACCCGCTGCTCAGCACAGCCTCTAGAAGGTGCCGTTCACCCCCAGGTGAGATAGCTGGCCTGGGAGACGTGGGGCCAGCGCGGGCCGGGGCTTTCTTGTGATGCTGCTCTGTTAGAATCACCTCCGCATCACCTGGGGAGCCCAAGCGTGCTGGAGGGAAGCCGAGCGGGACAGCGAGTGCAGAGACACCGTCTCCCGAGTCCGTGGACACCTGTGCAGAGCAGCTGCCCTCAGAAGTCTGGGGGTGCAAGAGTGACTCCCGCAGGGCCCAGCTAGGCCCCAGGGCAGGAGACGGGGTGGGGTGGAACCCTAGAAGCCCTTGCCCTCATTATAGTGCAGAAATAACTGTGCACGGTCAGAACTCATCCAGGCTAGAAGGGAACCCAAGGGCCATCGAGTCCAACACTCCATCCAAGGGGCTGCAGGACCCCGGGGAGAGTGGGGGTCACCCAGATGTTAATGGGGGCACTCAGCGTCAGTGGCCATTTTGGAGGCTGTCAAGCCATAAGCTCTTTTCCCCTTGGCGTCTCGGAGGCCAGAGGAGAGCCGAGGGGTCTGTAATTGGCCGCTGTCTGCCTGCCCAGCCTCCCCTTCCTACACGATCCATCCGCGAGACGTGTCCCGCCATCCAGGCCGAGCCATTATGAAAACACGTCTCCAGCCTCCGCAGTTGCAGCCTGACTGTCACTTGGCCTGGGGACCACCCCTGTGCCCGGGGCCGGGCAGAGACCATGCGAAGACTTAGGAAGCCCAGGGGCTCGGTCTGGCCTGTGGGCCGGGAGCACACCTCCTGCTCCAGGCTTCTGAACTTCAGAGGGTCGACAAACAGGTGGGCCTGCTTGTCTCCCTGGGCCTGGAGGCGGGGCTGGGGGGCGCAGGGGCTGCTGGACAGGCAGGTGTGAGATGCCGTCCTTCCTCCCAGCCCCACTTGACCCTCCTGCCCGCGTCCACTTCTATCCCGCCCAGAACTGATGCGTTCTCTGCCCCGACATCACTAACCAGACACATCAGAGAGGCGCTAACTTGAAAGTGAGGTCAGGAGAAAGCGCGTGTGTGGACACACACACAGAGCCACCCGCCGCCAGCAGCGTGGGGATGAGGGCTGACAGACAGCAAACCTCGAAGCCTCGCATCTTCTTCCTTTGCTTTTCCCCGCCCGACCCCTGAAAGAACCAAAAACAGACCAGGTCCAAGGACAGAGCACAGGTGAGGGGGCGGATCCTGAGAAACCCACATCCTGGCCCATTGGCCTCTGAATTACTGAGCATTTGAATGTTTAAGCCAGGAAGACGGCTGGAAGACTTCTCCTGGGTTAACGCAAAGTAGGAATTTTAAAACCCATGCTCCCGTTTAGAGGCAAGAGGGATACTTAAGTCAGTCTAAAAGTGTTCTGTGGTTCCTGGAGCTTCTTCCTTCCTGGTCTCGTTTCTTTCTTCCCCCTTCGTGTCTAACTTCCTCTTGAAATCTTTAATCAGTTAAATGGACAAATGCAGTGGGGGCAGCTCTATACAAAGCGCTCCCTAAGGAGGAAAAGGGACGATGAAAGACCAGGCGTCTGAATGATGGGCGTCCACCTTGCATTAGGACGAGGGAGGGGCTTGACATCAAAAGTTCCCTGAGAGCTGCCTGGTGAGGGCGGTCCAGCTCCCTCGGGCCCCGGGGCCAGCGTCCGTCCTGGCCTAAGCCCCTCCCCCAGCACATCTGCAGTCCCTCAGACTCACTTTCTCAAGAAGCAAATGTTCATCGGGGACAGGAATAGCACATCTTCGCCGGTGCTGAAATGATGACCAGCACGGAGCCAGAAATCTGCAAGGGGGAAAGGGAACAGGGTTTAAATTATTCACACCAGATCTTCTTTTTTAGCAGGCTGCATGAGAGAGCCAGATAATTCAGGCCATCTCAGCCCGAGGCCGATGACCAGCACAGATGTCACCCTGATGCAAAGAAAGGGATATTTGTAGCGTTTGGAATATGGGCTCTGAACACTTTTGTATCTTCAGCCAAATGAAGATCAGGATAGATGGTTCAGGCTCGACTGGTCTTTGTCAGGGCTTCTTTTCTATTTAGGGGATGGACTCAAAGGAGGGAGTTGTAGAAACAGTTTCTGAAAATGAGGGGCCCCCAAGTTGCAACACTTCCGTCAGATACACCCAGACTTGGATAACCAAAGAAGGAAGGACTGCGGCTGAAAAGCAGTTCGTAGTGCATCCTGCCTGGCCTGCTCCGGGACCTCTGGGACGTCACCCGGCCACTCCCGGCCACCGTGGTATCCCCATCCCCATCCCCATTCAGGGGTGAGGAGTGAGGAGGGGAACGAGGCAGTATTTTAGCTCTTAGGAAACGAGTCACCACATTATATAAAGATCATAAAGTGTGGCTATAATTATCACTTGCATCACCATCACCAGCTCCTTTGAGAAGAAGCCTAAATAAATGGAGTTATTCTTAGGCCGTGACTCCCAGGGTCCTCACAGCTTGCTGGGACACTGTAGAGGCAGGGGATGCAGGCGGCGTGGAGGGTGCCTGGGTCCCCTCACCCAGGCCTTGGACCATGTCCTCCCCGGGCTGGTTCCTCACCCACATGTTACTTTGCCGGGGCCCTACCAGCCACCCAGCCAGCTGGTCACAGCCTACTCTGACCTTTGAGTCACTGCCCACGTGCGTCAAAGGAATGCGTCCTGCAGCCAAGGCCTGGGGAGCCCCAGCTCCGCCCCGTCGGAGGAGAGGACCTCTCCTCATCCGCTTGGCGTGGGCAGGAGGATCCTCGCCAGGCTC